GAAAATACTTAGAAGGGGGGGTTGAATAAGTATTTATAAAAACTTATAGCAATAAAAACAAAATGATTGTTATCCTGGTTCGTTAAACTTTACTACTCCAGTCCACCCTATCAAGAGTGACTTGCCTTTCTCAAACAAGGACTTAATCCACTATTAATCAACTGATTACAATAACAATCACTAAAAGCAACTGTTTTTAGTCTTCTCAAGAACTACTGATTCCAACTAGATCTTCTCAAAGAACTATTACAATGAAATGTAAGATAAATACAAGTGTTTGAATGCTTCTAACAAGCTTTATCACAAGAGTTATTTTTCACTTAATATTAAGAACAAAAGAATAAGCTCAGCAAAGAGAATAAGAATATTTTATGAGAGCTTGTAAGAGTTTCTATCAAAGATTCGTCAACTGAAGAAGATGAGGAAGACTTGCTTTTATATGCACAGTAGTCCACAAAGTCTTGACGTTGGAGGCTGTGTACTGAAAAGGCCTGAACCTTTTTGTCTTCACATCACATGACCTTTCCTGGAAGTAGAATGCACAAAGAAATGTTTTTGGTCTATGTTCTAGTGTCAAGCATGAAAGAGGAAAGATTCGTTGAGCCAAATCAACGGATATAACTTTGAATTCTTCTTCAACAAGTATTTCACTTCAGAAAAATAAACATCAGAGTCTGCGTGATCAGAGTCTTGGATGCCCATCAGGGTTTGCTGAATCAGAGTAATGCAGCAAGTGTGCTTCAGCGTGTAGTTCTATCAGAGCAGAGTTTTATGAATCAGATCCTCAGTACATGCAGCGTGTAGTACTCTCAGAGTCTTCTGAAAAACTGTGCTTCTTAACTCTTATACAAAGATCTTCAATGCTTCAGAGTCTTTAGATCTTTCAGAGTCTTCTGCTTCAGATCCTTCTGCAGCTTCTGCTTCAGATTCTTCTGTAGCTTCTGCTTCAGATCCTTCTACAGACAGCGTTCAGATTCTTCTATAAGATGATTCTGACTCTTCAGAGCCTTCCATAGTTCCATGTTCAGATTAATTTGCTCTTAGATATATATATATATATATATATATATATATACTTTAATATCTGCAGCAAATATTCATGAACAAATTTTAGAGTATATAATTCTTTAATATAAAATTTCATAAGAGTTATCATCAAAATATTGAGATATTACTAAGAAACAATTTGTGTTCATACATTTTCGTCCTATCTCCTTATGTAATGTGATTTATAAACTTGTGTCTAAAGCACTTTCTAATAGATTGAAGATGACTTTGGATTTATGTGTATCGGAGGAACAATCGGCTTTTACGGATGGTCGCTCTATCCTTGATAACGGGATGATTACTATAGAGGTTATACATGCTCTTAAAAGAAATACTAAAGGCAGGAAGGCTCATTTGGCTCTTAAGGTGGACATCAGTAAGGCGTATGATAGAGTGGATTAGGGTTTTCTCTGTGGTATGCTGTGTAGAATGGGATTTACTGAAAGGTGGATTCACTGGATGATGATGTGTGTTTCCTTGGTGCACTATATTGTTCTTTCCAATTTGGATAAAGTTGGACCAATTGAACTAGGGCATGGATTGAGGCAAGGGGACCCTCTGTCTCCTTACCTATTTATTCTTGTGTCAGAAGGTCTTATGACTCTTATTAGAGGAGCAATGGCTAGAGGCGACATTCATGGGATCCAAATTTGTAGAGGGGCACGCACTATGTCCCACCTTCTTTTTACTAACGATTTTTTTTTTTGCAGGGATAACCTCACTAAAGTTAGACATCTTATGAAATTGCTTAGTACTTATGCTGAGGCCTCAGGCAGGAGATTTATTTGAATAAATCTGAGGTGGTTTTTAGCAGAAATATAAGCAACTCGACCAGGGAAGATCTTGATAGCATTATGGGAGTTCGTCATGTGTTGGCAACTGGAAAGTATTTAGGTTTGCCCTCTATGATAGGTAGAAGTAGGAAGGCAACTTTCTCTTATATTAAAGATTGCATTTGGAATAAAATTAATTCCTGGAGAGGTAGAGCTTTATCAAAAGCAGGGAGGGAAGTTATGATTAAATTAGTGCTTCCGTCCTATGTTATGAGCCTTTTTATCCTCCCAAATGCAGTTTGTAATGATATTGAGAAGTTGTTGAATTCATTTTGGTGGGGGTTATAATAAGGGTATTCACTGAATGCCTTGGGATAAGTTGGCGTGTCCGAAGAAGGAAGAATGATTGGGTTTTAGAGATTTTCGAGCTTTCAATATGGCTATGGTTACTAAGAAAGGATGGAACATGGTGTCCAAGCCTTAAGCTCTTGTGTCCAGAATCTTCAAAGCAAGGTACTTCCCTAGAACATCTTTCTTTGAAGCTAATATTGGATACAATCCTAGTTTTGTGTAGAGGAGTATTTGGAAGTCGAAGGATGTCTTATCAGTGGGTTACAGGTGGAGCATTGGGGATGGTAGTCACATCAGGGTTATGCATGAGCCTTGGATCAGGGGAAAGAGAGATGGGTGTCTGAGTGGTCCTCAGAATAGGAGAAGTCTTCAGAGGAGGAATGAGAACGGGGGAGAGGAGGATGATTGGAATAGTCTCTGAAATATTAGAGCACATTCAAGGGTTAAGCATCTCATGCGAAGAATTTGTAAGGATTGTTTACCGACCCGGTTTAGACTCCGTCAACACCATGTTTATTGTCCCCCTACTTGTCAGTTTTATGAAAATAATCTTGAGGATGATTGGCATTTGTTTTTTGGTTGTAATGAGATTAACTAGTGTTAGAGGGCAACATGTTTGTCTTATCTTATAGATGCTCGATTACATTCTTTTCATAATGTTAAATCTCTTATTTTCGACATCTGTAGCAAGGAGAATATGAGAGTAGCTGGTAGATTTGCATTTATACTTGACGAAATTTGGAAGAACATGAATAATCTCATTTGGAACAATGAACAAGAGGCAGCCTCGAAATTGGGATGGTTAGCTTTTCACAAGTGGCAGGAATGGTATATGGCCCAAGAAAGTCGTGAGCCCATAGGCAACCTTTAGTATCATTCTTTTTGGAATCTGCCTAGGGAAGGTTGGTTGAAATGTAATGCGGACGCGACTTTTAATAATCAGAGATGTACTTCTAATAGGGGTTGATGTTTGTGTGATCATAATGGGATGTTTATTACAGTAGGTGTGGCTTGGGATCCCGAAACTATATCCGTTATTGAAGCTGAAGCCATAAGTCTCAAAGAAGCAATTCAGGAATCCATTGCCTTACAGCTGGGTAATGTGGTTTTCGAATGTGATTCTCAGAAAGTTGTTCAAGCCATTCGATCTAGTTATAAAGGCAATTCAGAAATTTATGTCATTCTTGATTCTATAAAAGTCTTGTTAGTTGTGAACTCAAATTTTGAGATAAATTTTATTAGGCGTCAAGGAATATGGTTGTCCACTCTATTGCTAGGGCAATCAATTCATGACCTAAGCATAATTTATTTAATTTAACTCTTCCTTGTATTGAACATTTTTTATTAATGAAATACGTTAAGATTGTTTTGGTAAAAAAAAAAGAGAGAAATAAGTCATTCTTCATTTGTTACAATTTATCATTATATAAATAACTCGGCTAAAATTGTTTTCACATTTATTGAAGCATTACCACAAAATAAATTTTTAGCAAAAATGGTGGATCACAATAATATGAGAAAATAACACTACCAAAAAAATAGGACTGAAATCATAACCATGAATAAATTTAAATAAATTGATCGGACATGGAATAACATCTTTACTTGGGAACAAAGAATCCAACCAACCTAATTATTTGGTAAGATCTCTAACACTCAAAAATCGAAAGATATATGTTGAGAATTGAAAGGTATTGCGTACATGAAGTTAGCAATATTTTAATTTGACTTACTTTTTGCATCTCATTGTGCGGTAGAATCTTAAGCATGTTTATTTTTTTCACTTATAACTTTTTCCTTTTGCTTATAGTTTCTGAGCCCTAATTTTTGTATTTGATTAATGAAAACATTTTTAATAATATCGATCCTTGCCAGATGTGCTGGACGGTCCCCCATAATACGCTTACTTGGGGACTTCTGACTCCAGCTGTTCCAAGAGTCTCCGCTAGTGGAACCCCGTCCAGTAGACTCCCTCTTTCGCTCATCCCCTTCGTCAGCTGTTTGATCGGGATACTATTCCCTAGGTTCCTAAACTTGGAATGGATGGCGGAGCGTAGGTGGCAAACAGTTATATGGATACGGTGCTTTACCCGTAGACGCTTCTCCAGCTCTCGCAATAATTGTATGGGAGTCGTCCTCGGAGGGACTTCCCGAATGACCATACCGGGGAATTCTACCGTACTCCGTGCAGCTATTGTTGTTGATCTTGCAGAGCCTACCCAAAGGTTCAGGCCGGATTGTAGGAAGTGGGCGATACGTTTTTGTATTTCTATGAGAAGCTCTACGGCACCCATGATTCCCAGTAGTAAGTCGTCGGCATATCGCACGTAACAAATCCTTATGAAATAATGGGTTTTTATTTTGAAGGGGGCCAGTTTACGGGCCAGGCCTCTCTCTGACCTGATAACTAGTCTCGCCTCCCCGCCCAGCTCTATCAGCAGGCCCTTTCTTTTGCAATACTTAATAAGGTCTCTCATGGCCAAATTCTTATTAAAGCAACATTCTCTACTATAGAATTCGGTCTTCGGGGTCAACCCGGCGGCTTCTATGAAGAAGGCGGCGCAAAGGAGGCTCGAGGGCTTGTTAAGGAAGGCAGCTAGGGCCGACGAAGGGGGGAAAACGAAAGGCGTTTTCTGGTCCCCCCTTCGCCGGGGGGTGCTTGTCAAGGGCGCGCAGCGTGGATAGGGGGGGGGGGGGACCCATATGTTTTTGTGAAAAAAGCTCGGCTCCTGTTATTGCTGGAAAAAAAACCTAATACCTCTATTTGATGTCGATTCATCCATACTTCCATTTTTGAGGGAGGCTGACTGCTTGCCGGCTGGTAGCTGTATGAGCGGTAACGTCCACGTACGGCTCCGTGAGAAGGGCGGTGGGCAGAAATGGCCTTGTTGTACCTCACTCTCGTCTTCAATGGGGTCTGCTCTTTTTATTTTGGGAGAGTATGCCAATATGATCTTAATGAGGTGCGGGGCTTTGCATCTGACATTCGTTGGGCTTCCCTCTTCGGGAGCCTGCGTCCCGGCGTTTTTGTGCAATAAACCCCTCCGGCCGAAGACTAGTGGTAGGTGGTCCCGCGGAGCTTTCGGAGAAGGGTAGCCTAGTGTGTAAGCACAGCAATGAACCGCGGCGAACCCTCAGACGACCTATCTAAGATTAGGGGGGAGATCCTCAGTAGTGGTGACCCTTTCACTCTTCCACGGACTGATACATGTACCGAATGCTCATACGGGAAAGTCGACTCCTGGGTCTGGGTCTGGAACGAAGTCTCCGATAATCCAAGGGCAACTACTGGCTCTAAGCCTATCTGCTGTTGAATAACCAACCGGTGCCAGTCTTTTCTGTTACAGTAAGAGCTGTTGAGTAAATAGAAGCTCTGGTCCTATCCGCTGCTGGTGGTGAAGTCAGTGAATCAGTCCCCAAGCTTTCTTCCTTCAAAGAATAAATTTTGTCATTACGAACTAAGACCGAAGGCAGGTGCAGTTAATAGAGCAATGTGCAGGTTGGGCTTTTTCAAGGATTGCAAGCTCCAAGCATAGCTAGAATATGAGAATAGGGCCTTTGTTGCCACGCCAGCATATGCTAGGCAGGATTAGATTGAGCAGTATAAAGGTTACTTTCTTGGCACCGGGGATTGCCATTTACATTTTACTCCTTTTGGTAAGGCAAGGCAACCCTTTATTAGATTAGGACCGCTTCTCCGATGAGATGATAGATGCCTTTGGCCGATTCCCTTGTCATCTCGCCCTCCCCGCTCAAACTCAAAGTCTGTCTTAAAATAGAGGGAGAGGGAGCTCCAGAGCTCTTCCCTTTGGGACACGTGAACTCCACTCTTGGCAACTACCCTCTGCTGTAGCAAAAGTACCTTAAAGATAAGAAAGAGGGTCGGGCCAAGATCGCCATTCCGAATGTTGAAGAATGAGACTATACTTAGTCATTGCCGTAAAAAATCCAGATGGAAGATTTTTCTACCCCAGAAGCGAAAGTTATAAAAAAATGTGAAAGCCGAATCTCAGGTTCCTAGATAACAGATAGGCGCACAGTAAATAGGCGCGTTGACTCAGTCTAAGAAGCATGGCGACGCGTTCCTCTTTCATAAATTCAAAAATTTAAGCTCTAACTATGAAATATGTATATCCTGATTTCTCTGTTAATTATTATTTTTATTAATTATTATCTAATGTTAATACAGTATTATCCGATGTTAATGTATCATAAATTTTATGTTTGTTATGAGCGGATCTGATCGATCAAGTCACACAACAACTTAAATATATATGTTATTGGAGTTAAAATTGCGGCTGCGACTGCGGGCACCGAACTTAACATAATGGATCTTTGTTAAGACATTTAAATTGTAATTATTTTAATTATTAAACTCAATAAATGCAATATTGTTATATATTAAATTTGATTTAAAATTTAAATTTAAATTAAATAAATCAAGATTATTTTAAGTAAAATTAAAATTATATTATATTATATTATATTAGTTAAAGAATAAAGAAAAATTGTGAATAAAATATATTTAAGAAACGATAAAATTAAAAGAAAAACGCATATCAAAATTTGGTATTTCATTATATATAGTTATAAATAATTTGGATTTGATTTTTGTATATCGACCTAAGAATTAAATTAAATTAAATTAATTATTTAGATAGGTAAAAAATAAATAAAAAATGAAAAAATAAACAAAAGATGAAATTGAAAAAAGAACTAAGGAAGTACAAACGTCAAATAATGTATTTTTCTTTTTGAAATAAAGTCAAATAAAGTATCGGTTTGATACCGTTTCAATTTTTTCTTACATGGAATATTTCATTGCAGAAAACAAAAGTTATAAAACTTTTCTTTATTCGGAAAAATAATATCCAAGTAATTAATAACAATACAAATTAATCGAAATATAGTAACATCACGGGTTCAAAATCTCCTGCGTATAAGTGGACGCAGCAAAGAAGTTTAAACCGTTGATATTACCGTTTACCAAAACCAATATCCATCGAATGGTCATGATTTACCAGATCAAAAAGTGCGACTGTACCGAATAAAATTCCAAAATTTCAATGCTTTTGAAGATAAATAAATAAAACAGTGTTGCGTTTTATCAAACTTTCATAACATTACACAAACTTGTCTTTCGCGCCACAACGATTTCCCTTCTCTTCTCCATTAACATTCATTCACCGTTTCGCTGAAACTTCGGTTTCAGTTTCTGGTAAATTTGAAGCTTTTTTTTTTTTTTTAATTTTTTTTTAATTTTCTTCTTTTCCATTGTTATCTGCTTTAATATTTTTGTTGATAATTTTTGTTTCCGTTAGTATTGCTTTAGCGATTCAAATGCTGATTATCGATTATTTTTATCTTCAATTTTGTTAAGTTTAGTTTGATTTCGGACTTGAACAATTATTCCTTGGATTTTACTTACTGTTTTATCGAAATAATTCTTAATTAGACTTTACTCAATTGAATTCTATCCTTTTCGCGAAGAATTCGCGGCGAATCGAGGTTTAACACGTAAAAGGAATAATAGTAGATGTGATTTTTTTATTTTAATTTTTAAATTTCTGACAATGTGGTAATTATTATGTGTGTGTTTTTTTTTTCTTTCTTAAATTTCAGTTTTGATTGGAGTAGGATTATGATTTTTGTTTAGGTTTTCTTGATGGTGGATTTTGTAACTGAATATGGGGATGGTGTGTTTGATTGAGGGAAGATGAAGGAGAGACGAGTAGAGAGATGATGTAGGTGTCTATTCAATTTTGATAGTAAAGTTTTAGATTTTAGATGTATTAATTTGAAATATTTTTACATGAAATATTATGACATTAAATTTTAGAGTTTAGTGGGGATGCATTAATAGTATAAAATAGGTTTACACTGCCCAATAAAAAATGAAAGTAATTTTAAAGTATATGCATTATTTGGTGGAATACACGTGTTTAAAATTATTTTACATACATTTCCTATTTCCTCTCCATTAATAATATCTTCTACTTTACTTGTGAATCAAGTAAGAAAAGGGTCATTTTCCAGTCTCTCCATACAATCAAGTTGTCATTAAGTCTTTCTCTCTCTTACATTAAAATCACTCTCCTCTTCATGGCTTCTCTCTTCTCTTTGGACCAAACAGATGCTGAGATTTATGACTGTCACTATTAGTGTTGTTAAATAGAGGCTATAGCGGCATTTGAACAAAATATTGTGAAATAGCGGCACTATAACAGGTTGCATAGCAGACTTAGAATAAACCAGTATCTTTTGCGATCTGCGCTTGTCAACATTGGCTAGTATTCAGTTGAAGGAAATAAGATCAGGGTCAAGATTTTTCGATTTTGAATTGATTGAACATAAATAGTTTACTTTTATTTATTTTGGTACAGATATATAATCTACTAGTTTCTTCAAAGTTTGAACCTATCAGACCTGATCAGCCATTATCTTGAATGTTTGGTCAAATAATTGATGAACCTCTTCTGCAACTACCCTTCTGTGGAAAACACTTGAAGAGTCGAGGATTGTTTTTCGATATTATGTACATTATCATAATGTGTTTTGATTTATAAGCAATTATTTGTTTAGGAAGCGGCTGGATTCACGAGTTTCTTGGCTTGATGGGGAAAGAAGAATTCAATCCATTTGGGAGACCTTACAATTTTATGGTGCCTCAAGATGTCAGTATATTATTTTTATTTTTCTCGGCTCAATGTACAGCAAACTCCAAACCAACCTATGGTTATAGCTGATATGCTTTATATTATTTTGATTTTTCTTTCTAACAGCAAACTCCAAACCAACCCATGCCCCCACATTGGTCTAGAACTATGCAGGTGTAAAATATTGTCTGTTCTGAACTAATTTGTGATGGTATTTGGCCATGCAACTTGCGTACTCTCGTACGTAAAGGGAAAAAACTGACTCATTTGTCTTCTTTTAAATTTTAAATAGGCTTATTACAATCCTGGGTCTACTCCAAATCCCTTTTATAATCCACTTGCAGCTGGTTCTTACTTGTATCAGCAGTACATGTGGCCAAATCAGGTAATGATATACATATTATTGCATCGTATGACAGTTGCTTTCTTAGACAAGCTACCGGCTGCATTTTCAAATTCTTTATTGTTTGGTGCAGGCAAGCAATGCACTACTTCATTATGATGCTCTAAACGATCCCTCAAGGCTCTCCAATAAACCTCAGGTGAACCCAAACCTTTCAACAAATGTATTCATTCATTGCACTTCATTAATTTTTTTTCTATCATAATTTCTATGGAATTCATTTTATAGTTAGTTTATATTTAGTGGAACTTTTCGTATTTCTTTAGTGGATGGATTCAATGAATGTTTTTTCATCTTAGAGAAACTTCCATAATGAACTGTGTATGAGTTTGTATATTCATATACCAATGTTTCTGCATTTTGGCCAGGATGCTACACTGGCCTTTTCAGAAATGGTGTGCAGGAATATGGGCGAAGGAAAGCCAGACTTCAACAAACTATTTACTGGAAACTCACAACCTTTAAGTTTAATAACTGGGGATTTGAGAGAACATGGAAACACATCTTCAGCACCAAAAAATGCCCGGGATGGAATCTCAATGAGGTACATTTTGTTCTAGTTCTTTTGGTAAGCATGTTGATAACATTTTTCCTGGCCTGACTAAGAAACTGTTCAGTGTACCAAGTGGAAGCAAGAGATCACCCGGTGAAGAACAAGAGAGCACTAACAATGTATGTTGATCCATCAAATTTTTATATAAATATGTGGTTCATTAATTTAATAGGCGTTCTGTCAATGTTATGTTTAGAAGTTAAAACACTTAAGAAATTATAATTTTATAAATGCTTCTTATTCTTTAGTACAGGGCCTACAGGCCATATGCTTAAAATTTTAGGAAAAAAAGTCTAATTATATCCTTTTTGTGGCAGCTTTTTCCTTCAAGTTTGACACTGAAACCAAGCATGATAATTGGGGATGGTAAGATTATGAATTTATCTTTTTATCAACTGAGTAATGTAAATTCATGTTTTATTGTTTAAAATTTGAATGATCAGATGGTAACAAGTAACAAAAATTGTATTGCAATTCTTGCGACTAACAGTCTTGCATCTTTGTTTCCCTGTAGAAAATCCATCTGGGCTGACTCAAAATTTGGAAACACTTGTCAAGGAATCTGATGCTGATGCTGATACTCAACTAAAAAATATGGTACTAAAAAATTTACGGGTTTACGTTGCATGTATGAAAAGGTTTTATTTGTGTATTAATTAAAATTTAAGAACAAACAATTTTTACAGATAACTTGTAAAATCTCTTTTGAATCATTGTGGCATATTTGATATAACCAAGTTTGGACTTTTGCATCTTAAATTTTAAAGCATTTTTAATGCTAATAATCAACTGCATAGTCAATGTTGAAATATTGTATGAAAGCAACCTAAAGAAAAAAAAGATGACATTGACTAGCTCCTCAGTTATATATCTTATAAATTCTATAAAAGTACCTTTTCTTTGCAATCTACATAAGCCATTTATAGCTACCATGGAAAAAATACATAGGATAAAAAATATTGCAATGTTGATTATAACATAAATCGTCCAATAGGACTTGGATCTATTCCAATAAGTTCAAACCACGGGTTAGAACATAAACTTATTTAAAACTATGGAACATTAATATAAACACGGACACATCACTTACATGTAGAGACAGATAATGATATGAGAAAATGAAAGGGAATAGGATTGAATGTAACTTCACATGTCTGTTTCGTATGGCTGTTTGGACTCTAATAAATGTCGGACACTCGGGCAAGCCTTCAGTCTTAAGTGTTGAGTGTAACATAAATTTTGAAAATCAAAACTGTCAAAAATAAAACTCTATACTCTTTGGTGAAATTTCATATCAAGGCCTGATTCTCCTCATAAAAGCATAAGCTATTACGTAAGTTACAATATTTAAATTGTTGATTTTCTATCTCAAATCCTGTTAGAAAGGCTTAATTTTGTTGGCTACCATAGCTACCTAGTCCTATAAAAAATCGATATGGTGTTTGCCATGTCGAATTGGAAATAGTTTCTTTCTGGCCACTGATCTTGTAAGAAGTTGAATTTTTAACATGTCTAAAAAAATTCTTTAGTTTGCATTTTTTTTTTCTACACTTCATTCCTGTCATCTATGAGCCTTTCATGTGAATACTACCATCATATTTCAATCCAGCATTATAGCAAGATATGTCTGGTGAATACATTTCAGAAAGTAAACCCCTCTTTAAGGTGGCCAAATTTGATTCTTAAATATTTTTCCGCATTTCTTTTGACAGGAAGGTGATGATATAAGAAAAGAAAGGAAAAGACAGTCAAACAGGGAATCAGCTAAGAGATCAAGGATACGAAAACAGGTAGGCACTAGACCATGACTGGTGCAATGCAGTCTGTTTTTGTTTTTCCAATATAAATATGTATCCTTATAATTGCAGAAAATATTGAAATATCTATGAAATCGACAATGGTTGAATATGATTAAAAATTTAAAAAATGTTTTTGTTTCATTTCCATGTTTGCATCTCATCTATTAGTCCCCACATGTTTTTTCAAGTCTTTATTCTAATTTTATTTAATAAATTATGAAATGTTATAGTGATCTAATTAAATAGTTGACAGAACATAAAACAATTAGTTAGTTGTTGTCCTATTTTTTCTACTTGGCATTTCATTACTTTCTTGTTTTTATTTTCCTTTGCTGTTTCCTGTGACCTCATGTCCTAAACATGCATTCAAATGGCAGCGACAAATACAAAACGAACCACATGTCCACCCAAGATACTTGGACTAATTTGCAATTTTATAACCACCTATTTATTAAAGCACATGAGAGAACTCTTCCAGCTAAGCTGCACTTTAATATTGAGAGCTAGATTTCAAAATATCAATGAAATAGTTTTAACTTGGTTGGTTATGCCACATGGCCAGCTAGGTTGGTCAAAAGGACACATCAGTTCTTAGTTTCCTTCATTGATGAACAACCTCATACACAGGTTTATATTAATAATCTAATTTTTAAAAAACGTAAGCTAAAAGTTTCTTTATTAAGAACTTATGGTGCATTCTCAACAATCTTTCCATTTCTATGGAACATGATTGTACGTACGTGGTTATGATAAAACACGGTAGGGCTTTATGACATCGATTGATCCATGTAAATGAACCCACCTAATTGAAAAGGAGCAGAAATTTGTTGTTATTATTGGTGTATAATCATAGGATCTTGCCTTGCCAAACAGCTTAACAGTCTCTTTGATTTCCATTGTGGAAGTAGCAAATTTTACTTGTTCTTCTCCTTGACTTTATTTTTACATCTCTTCTGAATTAGACACATTTTCCTCTTGGAAACATAAACCTTTATAATTTTCTTGAAATTTGTATTTCATCTGATGTTCTCATTATTTGTGCCTTGGCAGCAAGAATGTGAAGAGCTATCTAAAAAGATAGACACTCTTAAGGATGAAAATTCCGTCCTAACACAAAGGCTCGCTACACTTTCTGAGGAATGTCAGGAGCTCACCAATGAAAACAATTCCATTCAGGTCCGTCATTTTAATTCTCCTTAATTTGTTCATTTTAGATCATTCATTCAACTAAGATACTTGTTTGGTTCGAGAAAATATTTTCTATTTAAACTTTTGATTGCTAAAGTGTCTTCTCGTTTTCTAATATTTTCGCTTCTTTGCTTTTAGTTGAGGGTGTATTAAACTATTTCAATAACATAACTTTTGCGAGTATAGGCATCAGATAAAAATGAGAGTTTTATTCCCCATTAAAAATGACTATAGTCCCTTCCTTATTTTCAAAACCACATTTTGCTTGCATTAAATTATGCTTTTTCAAATAACAAGATATGGATAAACTCCAATTGCAAAAATATAACACTGCCGAATTTTGAGGATCTGCACCTCCCTTTTCCAAAGGCTTCTTCTATTCTCTTTCAAATGACAAGGTATGATCCATCTGTCTAACAATTTCCAACTAACTGGTTGATTTGATAAATAACTAATCGAGCCAAGTACTAAAAATACACCCCACAAAACAAATTGACAATGTCCTAAAAGTGAACCAGACAAACAGAAATCTCTTTAAACCTCTAGGGTGCCATTCTATAATGTTCCAAGCTTCAGAAGAGAATCAAATGACCCTTTTTCTGCCAACTCCCCTCAAAAGTCTAATAATCCTTAATAACATCGACTTCTAATGTCTGCATGAATGCAGAGAATTTGTGTAATAGTAAACTCAATTAAAAAATAATAGTCTGCATGAATGCCTCAGAGAAAACAACTAGGGATGGTAAAACAGACCAACCAGCCCAGCCACCAACCGGCCTAAAATGGGACAGGCCGAGTAGATCTAGGTAAGTGGATTGAAAGTCTCACCCCACTATGTTAAGGACTTCTTACACGCACCCCTCCTAGCACTCCTTACTCCCATTTGTCCATTTGATGTAACTAACTCTGTACCTCCACTATGTTCTCGTCGTGGCTTGCCTCTAGGAGTTTTTGTTTTGCTATGCCATTTTTCTTTTTCCTCCAATGGTATCATAATGATTTGCATAGACCTTTGAGCATATGATACCCATTGCCGCTAAACTTTGCGAAATAGCTCATTCAAAATGAAAAGGAGCTCTTGTACAAGTTGATAGGAACTTTTTTTATTTTATTTCCAGCAACTCCCTGGTTCTCGGTAGAAGGGAATTCTAGTAAACCAGCGTTTGATTATTAATTCAAACTCGGGTTCTCTCGAACGATTCGTTCCTAAGTGGAGTTAATTAGCCACTTGAGCCAAATCAATAGGAATTGATTCTAAATACAGAAAAATTTGTTTTAATTGATAGAAAAATCTTTACATTATTACTGGATCTATCTCATTCTAAGCTCTTTTCTAAAACAAAACAAAAAATAAGTCTCTTAAATCTCTCCTTCCTATTCTTTATAACCAATGATCTTTGCAACCAACTTCCTAATAAGCTAGTGTAACAATTATCTAAGGAAGTAACCTAAGATGAAGGTGTTCATGTCCATTTTCTTAGATGACAATTATTTATTCAAAGCTTTTGATGTTGGTTTATAAAGAAGTTAGTTTTCATTATTGTGCTTCTCAATGCTCTATTTTCAAAGATGGCTACTAATTTGACTCTGATTTGATGGTGGAACAGGAAGAGCTAATTAAGAGGTATGGATCAGAATCAATTGCAGACCTATTGCGCATGAAGCCTGTTTTTGGTGGATTCCCAAAATCAGTTTGAGATAGGAAGCATCTTTCAACTGATCTGAATCTATTATATATTTTTATTTGGGATGGAATTGAATTTTGACTTCTGCTTTAAGTTGTCAATCATATGACATAATCATATATTTGTAAATCAACATTAAAATAATTTTTATTGGAAATTGAATTTTGGGATTTTAATTTTAAAATTTCAAAGTATTAGAGATATATTTTAATCATTAATAAATAATTTTTTTTATCAAATATGAGGATTTTTCTTTGATTATCTTTAAATGATGTCCCATTCAGCTTAATTCTTTATTTTTATTATAAAAAAAGCTGTTATGTTATGTTTTGTTTTGTTTTTGTATGAAAAGCGGTTTTTTAAATGAATAAACATATTGTTTTATGACATATATTTTTTGAAAATTTAAAAACAATTAATGAAATATTATAATTTATTTATTAATAAAATAATATTAACAGTGGTGGTGATTAAAGACAGCTGTCCACTCTAGCTTTGCAAGAGACCTTGGTCGTAGAGCGTAAAAAAATCTAAATGACAAAATCTTAATTAGACTCTCTGATCTCTTATTTTAAGTTTTTTATTGAATGATTATCTTTTTTACTCTTTATTTAAACCTCTATTGAATGAGTATTTTTTTTACCCTTTACTTTTAGACCATTTTATTTTATGTTAGTAATTTTTTAAGGGATTTAAATAAGGAAGCTTAAAACCTATTGTTTTTGAAAATTTGTTTGAAATAAAGGATTTTAGTTTTTTTATTATAAAATTTATAATTTTTTAAGAAAATGAAAAATACAAATTTTAAGAAAAAAAATCAATTTCTATAAGAAAAAACCATTTTTTTAAAGAAAAATTATTTTATTATTTTGAAATTTTTTATATATATTTTCTTAAAATTAAGAAATCAATTGATTATTTTTAGACAATAAAAAACATTCTAAAATGTATAAAAAATTATTCTGAAAGAGTTTTGTAAAATAAAAATAAATTAATTAAAACTTGAAATAAAAAACTATGAAAAATTGGAGTCTAAGACCCTAATAAAATTTTGAAGACCTTTTAAAGAGTGTTTGGTTGGGGTAAATGGTGGGGAGGGAATATTTAATAGTTTGTGTTTAGTTCAAATTTTAAGAGGGGAAGGGGAGGTAGGTGGAGGAGAGCAAAATCTCTCCTGACTCACTTTTTGTTTCCCCTCCCCTTGTGAACTAAACATATTTGTAAATAAAATCTCTCCCCTCCCCTCCCCTTTCGTATTTTGAACCAAACATATATATATTTAAAATTTCTCCCCTCCCATCCCCTTCCCTTGATAAAAATCCCTCCTCTCTCTTTCCCTCGATTGAACCAAACAGACCCTTAGTCTAGAGGATTGCTTAATGCATCTTAAATATTGCTTCCCCACTCTAGTGAAAAATTAAAACTATTCTAAAATTTGAAGATGCATCTCTGGACGCACTACATTCACACATTATCCTTTTGTTTTTGAGTCACACCTCAAATCTATGAGTAAATCTAATTCGAAAATACATATACGTGTACCTTACAAATATGTATCTTCGGAATAGACACAAAATAGATGTAGAAATGAAGATATATTAACATCGATAATTGTTATGGTATACATAAAAAATAAAATATTATATGGATAATTGTTAACATAAACCGAACAATACATTTTTATCATCATGTACGATGTTTTAACATCTTCAAAATGTCTTCGATGGATCTCGCAATCTTTGCATCAAGCTCAATCAAACATTTTGTTTTACAATGGTGAAATGTGTTCCACATAGCCCTTAAACCTTTATCGGTCATTGTCAATTGATGGTGAACGGTACTCAAGTTTGAAAACTTTTTGATTGTCTGAGTGTTCTAAGAGATTTTCTAACATAGATTTTATATCTACAAGAGAGGTGTACTCAGTGACTTTAAATTCAAGTGAGGCATTTGCGTCGTTGAAGTAGACAAATCGGACATGCCAATATATACTCATTCTGGTGTGGTGTGCTTTTGTAAATAATATGAGATGAGATACCTCATATTTATACAAGTTTTAGGTCAATATGGGCATAAGAAATTCAATCTTATTCTAGGGAAAAATTTGGAGATGTACTTCCAGATACACCCTACATCGTTGTGTGAAATTTGTTAAAATATGGTGCATCAGAAAATTCATTTCCGAATAAATCCCATGTCGTATTTTTTTTTAATATTTGGGGTGAATCTAGAAATGCATTTTCGGATGCACTAGATTTTGTTCACGCATAACAAATATAAAAAATAAAGTCTATTTTAGAATAGAAAATGGAAAAATATTTTAAAAGTTGAAACAAATTGAAATCTATGAAAATGTATATGTTTGACATCATTAATATTAATACAAAATAACATACAAAACATGTCTAACCACATAAATACATCATTGAATAAAAATTAAAATGAATTGAAACATGTGTCATCGTTTAAATATATATATTTATGATGGTTTTACATTTGACTTTTGTTTATTTGGTTCTCTTTCAATCTCGCTCGACTTGATGAATTCTTGCATCCTTTTCAAAAAATGACTTGACCAAGTCTCAGCTTGCCTTATTGAATGAGTTTTCCACTCTGGTGGTGTCAGTGATATATGACATCTAGGTTTCAAATAAACTTGAACAAAGTGCCACATTTTTTAAAGCCCTCCAATACAGATAGTACAATCAGTTGGATTTTAAGGTGGGGCAACGTGTAGTGGAAAAAATGTTTATGAAAAATCATATCTTGTCAGATCAATACACACCTTATTATATGCATCTTCTATAAGATTACCCATTTCAGAAAAGCACATCCATTTTTCTTCTGATGTCGGTCCACTAATACAAGGAATAAGATATTCATGAATTGCATCAAAATTTTCTTTTTTCCCATATAGTCGCGGGTATGATTCTGTATGACTCTTCAACTCATTGATAAGTTGTTGGCAGACATATGTATGATCCTTATCTCCTTTACCAAGAAAAGTATAAACAACTCTAAAAAGGCATTTACTGTTGTTGTACCCCAAAATTTGCCCAACCTTTTTCTAACTTGGTTTATGTTTCATTGCATAGTTCTAGCATGTGCATTTGCATATCATTGGTCATTTGCAGGGGATCAAGAGAGGTGTGCACAGCAAGAGAAGGTTACCCAGGGTCTAAGCCTAAGCAAGATGTTTTATTCAAGTGGTTAAGTGCTTATCATCATCAGGAGAAGGTCAAAGCTCTTTGAGGGAGTGGATGGATAGTTGTGGTTTCTCTCCTATCTTAGAGGCCAATTAAAGATCATCAGAGGATGTTGATTCCATGGTTATGGATGAAGAATGTTGTAGAAGCTCAATTATTGCTTTTAAGGCCATTGTGGAGCTTATTCAACTGGTTATATCATGTGCAAGAGGTTGCAGTCAGAGGATTGCACACCTGGAGTTTCATTTGCCTAGTGCAAGATCCACTATGGATTTGAGGGAGACTAAGACTTGATTCCAAGTCATTGTAATCATGGGAAGTCATTTTGAGGCATATAGGATCTCATATCAAGTTCAAATCAAGAATAATCAAGAGCCCAAAGAGTTACTAAATTAGGGTTTCAGAGGGTTTCAGTGTAAAATCCCCTTCTTTAGTGCCTAACTTCAGGGACCACTTATCTCAAGATTAAAGTTTCATCTCACTTTGATGCCAACATGAAACTTGTAGAGCATGTTCTTAGCTTTCATTTGAGTACTAGAACTCATCCATTGGATTTCTAGAACTCAAGTTATGATGCTGACAAGTTATGGGTCCTCAGATGAATGTAATTTCAGTCAACAAAAGTCAACCAACTTCTAAGGCATTTTTGACCTAGAATCATGTTTCATCTCACTTTGACCCAAACATAAAAGTTGTTCCTTATGATCTTATCTTTCCAAAAAGAACTAGAAGTCCTCCATTTAATTTCTAGAACTCAAGTTATGAAGCTTGCAAGGCAAGGGTATTTTGGGAAAGTGAGATTATAGGTCATTTTCATTATAGGTCCATTTCATGACTTTGTGCACTTCAAATGGAACTTTATCCAACATCAAACTTGCATCAAATGACATCAATTTCATCATGGAACATTCATTTATCATGGATTTGGCTTGTATGTGAAGATTGGTGAAGGAATTCCGTGAAAAAGGACTTTAAAGGCCATGATTTGAATTGGATTGATTTAAATCATTTTCGTACCATATTTGTGCATTTTTTGAGTCACTTTATCATAATAAGAACAATTCACAAATTAAATTAGAGCCATGATGTGTGAAAAGTCATGAAATCTCAAGTTACTTCATGTTGAAGTTATAAATTCAGTATCAATCATTGGATCATTTCAAGGGATGATTCTCATCCATTTGATCAGAATGGATCACAAGCAAGCTGTTTGAATCAAAACCAAAGTCTTTGGAGCCATTTCTCACGTGTAATTTGTAGCTTGAATTCACAACTTTGGATTTTTGCAATTCTCCAAATCCAGGCTAAATTGGGCCTCCAATTGATTATAGATCCAAAATATAAAAGTCTCTGATGAATAACAAAGGCTCAGAAGTGAAAATTGGTGGAAATTGGAGCTAGGAGCAGTTGCAAAAACCAAGAAGCAAGGTGAAATCGTGAATTCCATTTGAGAGCAATTCAGGCCAATTGAAGATCACCAATAGCTTCCTTGAAGATCATTGAAGGTTTCTGGATTGTTTCCCACGAGTTTAAGCATCAATTCAAGACCCAATGAAGGAGATCCGTTAGGTAAACTCTCTTTCAAGATTACACTCTCTTTAAGCATCCATTTCATGTCATTGTTGGTGCATATTGAAGCCCTACTCACGTAGGCATATTCTGGATTAGTTAGGTTCTTGTTTTTGATGTTTTGTGATTTGTGCTCAATTTTTGTTGGCTTCGAATCTCCCTATTTATGGATGATAAAAAAAGAACCCTAGATTCATGATGTACGCATTGAGAGGATCAGTTTAGACTCAAGATTCG